ATCTTTATATTTATTATTATATTTATTAATAAAGTTATATCATATTAAATATCCCTATTAAATCTTTAATTTGTTAAATTGTTACGTAATTCTAAATAAAATCTAAGTTAATCTTGTATAAATACTCTTTAGCATATACATCTTATTAAGCAAACAAGCTGATTTGATATGCTAAAACCCTGCACAATAAAAAACTCACCTTGTAATATTTCTTCGAATTCACTATTAAATAATTAAATTGAGTTGATCTTAGTGATCCTCAAGAAATTCTGAAAATTATTTGAATAGTTTAAGTTAGTTTAGTTAAAGAATATTAGTTATCCTTCAGACTCTTGTCCACATATTGGTGTAACAATATAGTCAATATGTGTCTAATATATTTAACAAATTGTGTATACGATATATATTACAAAAATTAGGTACCAAAATAAATGTCAGTTATATTTAATACACTTATTGGAGGTATAAAAATTTTTTAAAAAAATTAAAAAATATATCGGGTGACTGATTTTTATCAAATGATCAATAGATTCTTGACATATTTATATTATAACTATTGAGAACATATCAGTTACCTATTGGTTACCTATCGGCCACCATTGATAGTTACCTAATTAGTCTCCTGATATATGTCCAAAATATAGATTTCGACCCGTAAATCCTAAGTACAAAATTAAGTTTACAAAAGCTCTTTTTCAAAAATATTATTTATGAATTTTTAATTGACCATTCTATTTACTGGATCTCAATTCAATCAAAAACTTGTGAATAATAATAAAAAGAAAAGTTAAAAAGAAGATCAATATTATAATAAGTAAAAAAAATATTACACAAAATATTTTTATGTCATTAATATCAAAAGAATAGGATACAATTGATAAATCCCTATATTTTAAATTAACAAAATCTATGTAAAGCCGTATTAACTTATTATTAGAAAATAATGGTCATACAATAAATTATTAAAATTTAATTATATTAAAATATATATCATAGCACATAACATATAAAATTTTTAAAAATTTAAATAAAATTGAACACGACAATCACAATAGTTTGAGTGTCAATTTTTTTTGCCATAACTGTATATGACCATTAGATCTCATTTATTTATTAAATAATAAATATATATCTGCACTTACATATGACTGAAAAGTTTTCTAAAAGTTTTTTCTTCTTCTGTTACTTCTGATATATTATCAATATCTTCTACTTACAAATAAAAAATATTTTAATATATATGATTTATTATTTTCAAACAAAAAATTACTAATTATCTTTAAGAGTTTGTCAATAAATTTTACTTTTTTTTTTAGCTAGTTTTGAAATACAAAAAATATATTTTTGAAAATGTATTCAGTGAAAAACACCAGATAATAACTTTAATATTGAATTATAAAAGCCAGAATAATTAATCAAATAATAGTAAAGGGGACTGAAAAATAATATTAAATTTTTAACAATATTATAAATACAACTATATAAGAAGTAAAATAAAAGAAACTTATTCAAAAGCACATTTTGTTTTTTTAGTTATTTACAGTATGCTTCTACCTTTTGTATTAATACATTCTAGTCTAAACCTTCTGAGTTATCCTCAATAATGCAAATAACAGATAATTCTTGAAGATCTAATTCTATCTTATTTTCTTTAACCTCTTCACAAGTCTTGGGAAGATCTATTTTATTATTAGTAGTTATATCTAGAAAATCTATTTTGTGTTGGAAACTTTGCTGTTAATCAATGTGATTATTACTTCTAGTGTCTTGAATCTGAATAGAGATTAAAAATTAGCAAGGATTCAAAAATATAATATATTTCCAAGAATAAAATTATACCTCCATATAGTTATCTTTCTTCATATTGTTATCAGTTATAATGAATTGAAAGGAAAGAGAGAATAATAACTTGTTTAAATTTAACTTTACCTTTTTGAACTATAATAATATAAGAAAAAAAATTAATTAATTTTAATTATATTATATAAATTTAAAGTTTCAATGATAAACAATTAATATCATTATTTATTTTTTATATCTTATTGAAATAATCTCTGATTTATCAAATTTATCATTATCAATTTATACAAAAGAATTTAATATCAAATTTACAAATTATTAAAAAGTAATACATTTAGCAAACTTATGTTGGAATTTATTTGGATAAAGAATCTAACTACATAAACTGTCACCTGATTAATTTGAAATTTTCTATTTATCTGATTTTTGTAATTTCTTAGAAAATTGATTCTGTTGTTGTTCATTAGGACTTAACTAGAATTCATTAATTTTGTCATTCAATGTCTACCAAAACACAAAGTTAAATAATAATTAAAATGTAAAATAATATTATAACAAATATATATTTACATGACTATTGATATACCCAGTGATTTTTCAGTTTTCAATATCATTCATCATTGAACTTAAAAAATTTTCAGAGTTTTGTCAATTTTTCCTTTCCTTTGTTAAAGTAGAATATTAATAACACATAAGTATAACTTCTTGATAATATAATAGCCTTTATACCTATTTTTATATCATTATATATTACTTTTAACAAGGTATCCCCAATAATTTATAAATACTTTATTTTCTAATTAAACTATTTAAACGAAAGTATATCAGATTAACTATGAAGTCTCTACCATAGATAACAATAAATATAATAAATGATATAAAACCATATTTTTATATTTTTACAAAGATTACAGACACATTGTAAAATATTAAGATTAATATTCTTTATGTTTACAATTTTAACTAATTTTTTTTTTCAAATATATAAATCAAACACTTGTTGTACTGTTACTATTGAGTCTTTAGTATATATTGATATTGTAAAATCTTCAATACTACTTTACCACTTCAAAAATGTTATAGAAAAAAACTGTTGATTACAGTGTGTGACTAACAAAGGTTTACATCTAACATAAAATTATTAATGTTACCTATTTATCCTTTGCAAAAAAAAAAGATATTTAATTAGTTAACAGAATGAATAGATCTATACAATTTATGTTTTTTTGTAGTTCCTATTCAAGTACAAACTAATTAGTCACAATCATGTAGTTGAACATATGACATTTACAAACAATTCTTTAATATATTGATCTTATCACCTTTTTGTGTTAAATAATTGGGTAAAGTAATAACCTTCTGTGATACTAACAGATGTCCTCTCAAAAGTTGACCCTTTCCATAACTTTTTTTCCTATACATGTGTTAAACACAAAAGATTTGTATATAAATCCTAAAACATTACTGGCTAACATCTAATCTGTTTAAGATAATATCAAGCTATCTGATCAAGTTAATTGTTCTTCGTGTTAAACTGCCAAGGCAGTTTTTGATAATTTCCATATAATAAAAGAGATATATAGATTTATAAAAAGAATATAAAATTTGAATAAACTTTATTAATTACTATATTCGTATAAATTTATATAACTGACTATAATAATAAATAGATAGAAATGTAAGGTGGAGGTGAAGAGGGAAGAATAAAATATTTGATCATATCCACTAGAATTCTGAATTTTTCATATTGCAAAGTAATAGCTATTCCTTTCTCTACTTCATATTAAAAGTTAATTTATTTTTATTATCTATTTCAAGAACTTATTTTTTTTAATGTTTCACCTGTCAAATTACTATTATTAATTGTTATAAATTTTTTTATCATCTTCTTATTAATTTTTCCACTTCAAGGTGATGAATTTCAACAGATACTGTATTTCACATATCATCTAAAGAATAATTATTTTTTACCATAATCTTATCAAAAATAATTTTGAATTTATTTTAGGTTGTTGAGATAATATTACAAAATAATAATTGGCTTAATTCACTAAAAGAAGTGTGAGAAGATCTTTGGGAAGAATTAAACAAATGTAAGATATTAAATTGTTTAGATCTTAATGGTGCTATAAAATCTATTTCAATTAAATGGTTCAACTGGTCATAAAGAGATTTATAATTAGTGGTAATTCTATTATTAATTTCATTCACAGTATTTATCATCACCATAATTCTCTGTTTTTTGATAATAAATATAATATCTTATAATGTAAGATCTGCAGTTATTCTTTTTACACATGTATTGAGATTCGCAGTAATTTGTTATCTAATGAAATATATAGTGAAATATATGCTAGCTAAAATTAGATGAATAGAGATCTTCTTGATAAGTAACATTATTAATGTAAAAATTAAGAAAAGTATAATTTCTGAAATGTTGATTGAAGACATTTATACAAAAAAAAAATTGATTAGAAATCAATTATATATAGATACATAGGCATTCAATCACAATGAAGATATTTTATTTTAATTAAAACTAAGTAAAATTAAGTTCTGTAATAAATTCAATAAATTTATTTGATTTTTAAAATTTGATAAATTGTATTATTTTGCTTTATTAATTTTAGCACCTTGTATTTTAACTTTGTCAAGAATATGTAAAAGAATTGAGATAATAAAAAAAATTAATCTTTTATAAAAAATTCATTACAAATAAAAACAAAAGTTACCAGAATAATTTTAATAAGTCATTTAATATTTGATTCAAGTGAAAATTGAAAGTTACTAGAACAATTTCAATATGATCATTCAACATTTTATTTAAATTGATTGTAATCGTAACCATATAAATAAACAAATAATATTACATTTAAAATATCTAAGGAAATCATAAGAAGTATGTTAATAAAAGGAGGAAACGTAATTGTTGAGGAAATACTTTACGATCATAATTGTTATTTCCAATATAGAAAATGTCTTAGAACTCAACAAATAATATTCATAGAACAATTAACGTTATACAATAGTAATCGTTTATTGTACTGACAAGGAATAACTAGAAATGAAAGATGAGATCCTAAACCAAGATGGTTTAAACTATACTTGTATACAAAATTATTTTGAAATCCCGAAATTACAATTTTGAAGAAAAAAGTCAAAATAATTTTTCATAGAAGACGAAATTATTTTACTTAAAACCTGAAATTTTTTGACCACCCAGATTTATTCTTTGATTAAAAATACATATAACTAGATACTTTTTTTACTTCCATATATAGAATAGATTTTGCATAAATCTCAAAAAGTCGAAATACCTCAAAAATCCAAAATCAATTTTGGGAACATGTATAGCGCATATACCTTAATCTGTTATTTTTTGGCATCTGACTAAACTTAGAATGAGAAGTTTTGAGCAAGATTCAGCAATCTGTTTTAATGATGCATCAGTAATATTACTTTCTCGTAAACTAAAATATTCTAAGTGTATGTAGTTTTGTGCAATCTCGATTATAGATGCATTGGTAATATACTTATTATATCCCAATTTCAGGTAGCGCAAATTAGTACATGAGCGAGCAACTTTTTTCAGTGATATATCAGATGGCTTAAAAGATACAAGTGATAGATGTTGTAGATTTGAGCATGAATTTGCGATTATACATAAAGTTGTATCCCACATATTAGTTAATCTACTGGATCGTTTTATATCTCTACTATTACATGAAACAATGATAGATTCCAGAGGACAAATTTGCGCAATCTTGCTAATATCTCTATCAGATAAACTACAACACCATTTGATTTTTAGATGGTGCAAATTAGAACAGGATCTAGTAATTCTATATAGCTCATTACTAGAGACCCTACATTTAGAGAGATGAAGTTGAAATAAATATTGTGTATGGTGTTTTATTTCTGGAGAAATAGTACTTTGTACTCGACTCTCACATATTACTTTTTTAAATTTTCTTCATCACATACACGATTTTTTTAGATCGTTAACAAATTCAACTCTTTTCCATAATATAGGAGCAGAGCAAAAATACCATAGTCAGTTAACGAATAAGGTCGGGTATAATGTCTTATATGTGACAAGATATAAGAAAATTTCAGTTAAAATTTCAGGAAGATATAATGGATGGAGTTTATTATATGTCATTGATACTTATCTTATAAGTTTATTCTTTATGCGATAAATAACCCTTCTCTTGCAATTCACTTTTTATATATGACAGAAGATCTGCGTCAAATGGTACTAATATAAGATCTACACCTTCTCGAGCACATATCACCCGCTTTTTTTGATCTCTGATTTTTTATTGTTCCAAGTCTATCTGGCCTCGCTTATGGAACATTGGATTCTCAGAAAAATGTTGAGGGCCCTGATATTCATATGCCAATTTTAACTCTTCGTTATATCCGTCTAATTGCAACTCATTCAAAAATGACAGTTTACAAGATAGAAATTTCTTACCTAACAGATCTTTAAAAATATATCTACATTTTCGCTCATCTGTATGATGGAAGCAAATTGGACACCATTCAAATTTCGTAACTATTAATGGATATGGATACTCAAATTGATGCTTACTATTACAACATGACCAAAGATATACATCGAAATCATTTATCCGTCCAGATTTACCAAGACACCTCCCACCACGCTTCTTCGCATAAGCCTAAACTTTAACTATTTTATTAATAGCACAAACAAAATTAATTAATCTGGAGCGTGTGCTTTCTTCTAGTATACTTTGAGGTGAATATTGGAGTTTTTCTGAATTCACGTGCAAAAGCTCTTCCCTTACAAATCCCCGTGTTGAAGCATATTCATCGTCACCACTCCCGAGATAATATAAAACTGGTTCATTTTTCGTTACTACGATTTTGTGAATTTTATGTAAAGAAGGACTCCAAATTTCATCCGTTGTACGCCTTTGATTTTCCATACCTCCTTCCCACTCTGCATTAGCGAGTAAGTAACGAACGGTATCTCTCTTTTTTAATTTTTCTTTGTCTTTACCAACTAAACGTTTATATTTTGTAGATAGTCTAGACTATACATGTTCCCAAAATTGATTTTGGATTTTTGATGTATTTCAACTTTTTGAGATTTATACAAAATCTATTCTATATATGAAAGTAAAAAAAGTACCTAGTTATATGTATCTTTAATCAAAGAATAAATCTGGGTGGTCAAAAAATTTTGAGTTTTAAGTAAAATAATTTCATCTTCTATGAAAAACTATTTTGACTTTTTTCCCCGAAATTGCAATTTCGGGACCCCAAAATAATTTTGCGTGCAAGTATAGTCTAGACTCTATCCTATTCAATCTAATTATCTCCGCAGGCGCTAATCCCCATTTCTTCGATCCCGGTGCTCGTATAAGTCGTGTTGGATAATTATTCAAATATTCAAGAACTTTTGGTAAATGTTTAACCTATGCCCTTATTAATTTAGGACTCTCGGATATACTTTCAATAGCGAATTGAACTTTATATAGCATCTCTGCCAATGTCTTACAAAACCTGTCTACGAGTGTAAGTTCTCGATGAGAGTATGGGCCTATAACTCAGATTGTAACGTTATGCGCTTCCATTATTTTTAAAGTTTCACCCATAAATTCACGGCCTTGGTCACATTGTAGAAGTGTTGACCATACGAGTGGATCTGATAGATCGTTATAAATCTTTTTGAAAGCTTTGGCAACCTCTGAACTATTCTTGGATGTAAGAGGGACAGCACATTTAAAACGTGATGCAATGTCTATAAGAGTAAGTACCCATTTGTATGTCTTTCTATTAACAATATCATTTGTAAGGCGCAACAAATCACACATATGTAAACAGTTTGGACGTGAAATTTTATCATAACTAACTCGTGAAATATTTTTCAGTGACGGAGCATACTTCTGCCACTCATTCTGATTTACAAGCCAGTCACGCACTTTTTTATATGGGAATTTATACCCTTCCTTCTTGAGATCTTTATATAATTTTCGAGCATTGGAGTGATAACCAGTGGGATTATAAAAAAGAAGCTTACAAACTAAAGCCAATTCCTCATTAAAATCGATTAAAATTTGTGCTCGACTTATTTTGATGTATTTTACTATAAAGAAAAATTTTAGCACTTTCTTGGTAAACAATGTGATTGGTGTATATATACTATATTCCAATGGATAATCTTGTTGCGACAATTAAGAAATTACATATACAGGTCCAGAAAAATGAGGATTATATTGCTTACCTGGAGAAAGAGCTTACTACAAGAGATGATGAGATCGATATTTTGAGGGTACAGGTAAATGATCTCAAAATAAGACTTCGGAAAGCAGAGGCAGATATCCAATTCAAAGAGAGAAATCTATCTGCTGTCAAACTTCAGTTACAAGATATGAGCAGTGAATTATTCTCCCTTCAATATAGAATTCAAAAACTTCAGGAAACAATGACATTGGACATGGCACACCTACCATCCAAAATACATCAGTTTTTAACTTAATAATAGATGTGCGAGCAAATATCATGTTTTTAGGTAATTCAGCTAGGGGTGATAATACTTTTTTAAGAAATGAAATTGATAATCTCCAGACTCAAACAGAATTAAAATTAACACAAATTCAGAATGGATATTATATTTTTGAAAACGAAGTAACTCAGCTAAGACAAGAAATTATAAATCTAAAGGATATAAATTTCAATCAACAGGAGTTAACCAATGAGCTAGGTACATTAAACGAAATACTCAAAGAGTAGATAGATGAGTTATCCGAAAAAAATGAGACTATCCAAACTGAATTAGATAAGAAAACAAGATTATATAGGCAAGTTCAAGACCGGCTGGATGAATGTCGAGAGGAATGCTATCAAATAAGAGAATCTTTGGAAGGGACACATGAAGATATTTCAGAAGGTGAGTTTGCATATGACGAGTTAAAACAGAAATTGTGCATCTTAGGATTAACCCATATCACATGGCGAGCTCGTAATCTAAGGCAGGCTCAAATTTTAAATATGGAATTTAATACAGCAAGAACCGCTTGGAGAAATCAAAGAGAAAGAAATCAGCATATTGTTCAAGAATTACAAAATTATCGGGAGCATAGCAGAAATTTACAAAATGATAAGGTTCTTATTGAGTTTTGGCGAGATCAACTTATAGTGAGGTATGGAAAGTGGAAAAATAAGACCAAAAATGGATGCCAAATAATTAATAATTTGAATCAGCAAATTTTAGCACTCCAGAATAATTTACCTATAAATAATCAAGTGAATATGGCATTACAACCATTACCATTGTCAAATTTTTCAGGTGACCATGATGAGCACATTGATATTTTTTGTAGTCGACTATCATCATATTTCGCAGGTATTGCTATAGATCCACTTGCTAATCAGAATCAAGCATTTGACATTTTTAGAGGATGCTTATCTGGACGGGCATTAGATTGGTTTGATCGAAAAATTCTCGGTAAACATTGGAAAGTTCATAATATTCTTGCAAATCATGGACAAGCCGATATGGCTACTCTTCGAGGTTGAACTATGGCACAAATAATTATTAGTAACAGTTTTAGAAATCCCTCAATAGCTCATGACTACGCAAATGTCAGTAGAAATAATGCAGTAACTATAGGGGATTCAATGATTCCAGCAGAAGCTTTTACTGAAGATTGGTGACTAGCTGGAGGTCGGCCATCGGATAGACCTGTTAATGATATTAATGTGGGTAATAATAACCCTATAGTATTTGCTGATATCTGAATCGGTCAAGCATTATATTGGTTTAAAAATGAGTATCCTACTGTACTTAGCGAGAAATGCAATCTAGTGTTTGGGTCACTAGCTCAAGGAGGTGAACTTATAGGTGATTTTTATAGAAAGCTTATCAAATACGGAAAAATGCTTCACCTTGATGACAAATCAATCAAAGGCCAATTTCTACGAGGGTTGTTTCCAGATTTGGAAGAAAACGCGAAATGTATTGGTACTGAACAGCCATTATCTGATCTTTTTGAAACCCTAGAGAGAATTAAAATACGAAGAGCAGAGAAAAAATTAGGATTAGTTATCAAGATACTTCAATCTAGTTATAAATCGCCATCTAAATCTCACAAAAAAGATAATTACTCAAGCAATAGGGGTTTAACTGAAGCTGAAACCAGAAATTTAATAAAATCTATAATGTCATCTCCACAATTCCAGCAAACACAGGTTTAACACCCCCAGCAAAGACAACCCAATTCTAACGATTATCTTAGAGTACCAGACAAATATATGCCAGAAAGACCTCCAGATCACTGGTCGAAATATCATAAATCGGGTATAGATCGGGTATAGATCGGGTATAGATCGGGTATAAATCGGGTACAAATCGGGTGCAGTTTTTTTGTACAGTTTCAGGTACTTATCGGGTACCCGATATGATAATCGGAAATTCGCAT